ATCACATTACTTCACAACTTCTACTCTTTCATTGCAAATCATCCTTCAATTTTTCATAGCTTTTGAGAGCCATTTTTGTGAAGCTTGTGTTGTGTTCTTGAGCGTTCTTAGTTTACTCATTATTCACTCTTAAAGAGAGTATTGTTCTTGAGTGTTTTTAGTGTTCTTAGACACTTGACAAGAGAAAGTATTTCTCTTGTTGCTCGAAGGAAGGGCTGTTTCCTTCGAAGGTTCGTTGAGGTTCGTGTGACTCGAATTCTCAAGTTGTACGGGTTTGTTAAGCACCGTTAAGCTTAACGAGACAGTAGTGTAGCTCGAGAGAGTCTCTCGGGAGGCTGGATTAGCCACAAGTTGTGGTGAACCAGGGTAAAATCGGTGTGCCTCTTACTCTTCTCTTTACTTCTCGTTTATTCATTTTTTATTCCTGCGATTTTTGATCAAACGCTATTCACCCCCCCTCTAGCGTTGGTCTATTATTCTAACAGTTCTCTTTTCTCTGAAGCTCGGAAATGTTCGAAGGTTTCTTTCACTCTTTGCCCCCCCTTTCTTGGAGCTTGAAGAACGTTTTCCGATACGGATCGTACAAGATTTGTATCAATTTATTCTCAAAATAAAATTTTCATGTTTTTATCATCAAAATAAGAATTTGCACTGCGACATTATGACATTGTATAGTGGCATCTCATTATATTTTTTGGTATTATATTTTGACATTCTTGGCATTATTTTTTTGATTTGAAGATAAAAAATATGGAGCTCTTATTTTTATTTTTTTATGTTTTACTCTTAGTTTAGTCATTTTTCCTTTTTGATTTACCACCCATTCATCTTTACTTAGTGACAATTCACGCAAGGAAGAATGGTTAGAGCCTAGTTACGCATGTAAAGACGATAAATTATATATTGGCAAAATAGAGGTAGGATGAACTTTTTTGCTTTGGGACAAAAAGGACATTTAAAAAGTGGATAGAAGCTATCAGTTTAGAGAACTTTAATTTGGAGCCCATAAGCATAGCCCATGCTCATGCAATGTGTACTCGGATTTTGTGCACGCCAAGCTAAGGACCCAAATGCAGGATAGAATTAAGAGCTTCCATTAAAATATTGATTACTTAACTTATTCTTATTTTCTCCATCTTAAAATATTTTAACTTTGTACAGAATGAAGCGAAATCTCATTTTTTTTCAATTGATTTTATCAAAAAATTGATATATATAGAAACTAGGAATAAAATTTATATATTTAAAAGCTACGTCAAAAATTCTAGAAAACAAGAAATAAGAAAAATGTTTTATCTTATCCAATAATCAATCAAAACGCACAAATAAATAAAAAAAAGTAAATTTTGAATACTGATGAATGTAATTCTTTTTGGAACGGAGCGAGTATAACATATTACTCCTTGCGTCCCGAATTAAATTGTCTATTTACTATTCACATGATCAAATTTTATTCTCTTTCTTTTCCTATTTTTATTAGTAATTTGATAAAATCATATAGTCATATCATCATTAGTTTTGTAGATTTTTTGATGTAGTTATTAAATACTCCCTCCGTTCCACAAAACACTTCTGTTTTAATTATTTGCGCAACCCATAAAATACTTCTATCCCATCTAAAATGTCTAAAATACCCCTAAAACAACTTCTATGTGCCCGTAATAAACTACATAGTGGGGTATATTTCAGATATTTTAGGTGGGAGTAAAAGCGTTTAATGAGGTGCACAAAAATTTAGGGCGGAAGGATTTTAAGGAACGGAGGGAGTATGTGTTGGAGTTCCCACATCGAAAAATAAAGATGAGTATCACTAGCATCTATAGAACGGTGAAGCCCTACCTATCAGCTTAAGCTTTTGGGTTAGAATTGTGGATCCCGACTTTATATGCAAGTGGTTAATTTTACCCGATACTTTATCCGTTGTTCTTGGCCCGCTGGAATTTTAACATGGTATCGGAGCAGGTCCGGTCCGAGTTTGATTGTTCCTGGTTGTTTGGGTGTGGGTTTAGTAAAAATGAGCTACCCGTCTGTGGTTTGGGCTGAGTTGGCTAAAAAGAGATTGAGATGCCACCGCCCGTTGTGTGGGCTAGCTATAAGAGATTGAGATGCTAGACCCGTTTATCCAAGTGCTAACTAGGTCAGGCTAGTTACCACTTGCGGGGGAGTGTTGGAGTTCCCACATCAGAAAATAAAGATGAATATCACTAGCATATATAGAACGGTGAAGCCCTACCTATCAGCTTAAGCTTTTGGGTTAGAATTGTGGATCCCGACTTTATATGCAAGTGGTTAATTTTACCCGACACTCTATCCGTTGTTCTTGGCCCGCCGAAATTTTAATAGTATGTAATTTTTTTACTTCTGTACTATTTTTATATACAATGATTTAAAAATAAATTCAATCTAACATTGTAAAGAGAAACATGTAATTTAAATTGGGATAAAGAAAGTACTTATTTTTATTAAAATCAAATCATATCAAAAATAATTTTAAATATAAATACAAATAGATCAGATCAAAATTTATTCTAATCCGATAGAGCCCTTAACATTCCTTAGCATGGATTATACAGGCGATCGAGGTGATTAATTAAGCTATATAACCTGGTGGTACATGGAGTTCTGAATGATGATCACTACCCTCATAAATCATAATGCACAGGCTTCATATATGTGGCCATTCCTCTGTCGCTTCCCTCAAGCAAATATGGGTTAATATTGGTTGTTAGTTTGTTTGTCTCTTTTGAATGAATAATGAGTTCAGTGTTGAATGATTATTAAAAGATATACGGTAAAAATTTGTTGTTTGCAATTAGTTATTTTAAGATTTTAAAAATAAAAAAAAATTATATACATGCATATTATATGAGTGTGTAGCAATAGAACCAAATTTTCTCGTCAAATTGAGTCTTAAATCTATACATTATTTAAAAAGACATGAATTTTTTCCTGCCCATGCATGACACTCATATATGGAAAGTGTTGACAACATAAATGGTAGTTTAATTATTTTACCTTAATGTTTTCCTTCCATTTTAAGTATGTTTTCATTTTTATTTTTATTTAAATGTTACACCATTTAAGCATTTAAATTAAATTAAATAGTAGTGAACCATTGGGGAATTGAAGTATGAAAATAAAATACACTGCCATTTAAATATTAAAATAAAATTTAAAAATTAGAAATTAATAAAGTATGGGCAGGATTAAAATGATTTATTTCAAACAAACTACAAATTAATTATTTATCATTAAAAAATATTATAATTTACAAGCACAAATGCGTAAAAATGGTAAGTTTTCTAAAATAGATTAGAAAATAAATATGGTACCGTAAGTAGATAATAACATTTAAATAAAAGAATAAAATAAAAAACTACAAATTAATATTAATACTATAATTTAAAAGAATGAAAACGTTTTAAAAATGACAAATGTTCTAAATAGAAAATAAATAGATATGGTATGGTAAGCAATTAGCACCATTTAAAAATGAAAATAAAATAAATGGTAAGTTTTCTAAAATAAATTAGGTCAGTATTCTAAAATAAAAGAGAAAATAAAATACTCTCTCCGTCCCCAATTTGATTACAAATTGCGGGTTACGGAGTAAAATTTCTTACAAATTGAAATCATTTTATTTACAAATTGATATATCAATAAGATATATCAACTACGTCAAAAGTTATACAAAACAAGAAGTGAAGAGAATATTTTATTTTATCAAATACTTAATAAAATCGCGTAAACAAACAAAAGTTATCGAGAGGAGAGAAAAAAATTGTAATCTATTTAGGGACAGAGAGAGTACATCTAAAAATGATAAGTGTTCTAAAATAAATTAGAAAATAATGTGGTTTGGTAAGTAATTAGTACGATTTAAATACGAAAATAAAATAAAAAACTGCAAAATTAATATTAATACTATACTTTAAAAACATGATTTTTTTTAAAGGTAAGTGTTCAAATTAGAGAATTAGAAAATAAATACGGAGTGGTATGTCACCACGATAAGCAAATGGTACTATTTAAACACAAAATAAAATAAATGGTAAGTGTTCTAAAATAAATTAGGTAAGTGTTCTAAATAAATTAGAAAATAAAATAATTATTAAAACGATAAGTATTCTAAAATATTTTAGAAAATAAATGCGGTACGGTAAGTAAATGATACCATTTAAATACAAAAATAAAATAGAAAACTACAAAATAATACTATCAATTAATACTACGATTTACAAGCATGGTAACGTGTAAAAATAGTAAGTGTTATAAAATAAATTAAAAAATAAATATGGTACATTAAGCAAATGGTACCATTTAAATGCAAAAATTAAAAAATTATAAATTAATACTATTAATACTATAAGCATGGAAACATGTAACAATGGTATAAGTATTTTAAAACAAATACTATTAATACTATAATTTACAAGCATGGTGTAAAAATGGTAAGTGATCTAAAATAAAATAGAAAATAAATACCATAGGGTAAGTTAATGGTACCACTTAAATACGAAAATAAAATTAAAAAATACAAATTCCAAAATAAATACATTAATATGTTGAATTATTACTTAGATAAGTCAAATTATTGAATTATTATAAGAACAATATCTGAAACATATTGAATTATTGTTACGGAAACTGATATTTAGTCATGAGAAAGTGTATGTTACAGTTTAAAGAGTAATAAATTGCAATGGCTTGAAGATTCTAATATACAACGAAGTGAATGCTTACACAAATTATACATACGAGTGATGTAGTTTATAAAGAAGTTTTCGAAATTTGTAAATCATTTTACTTTTGTACTTTAAAATAATGAAATCTCTATATTCCATTATGTACCAATTTATATTTCTAAAAAAGATCTTAAGTTAGTACCGTAACTATGACCCGTGCAACGCACGGGTGTGATACTAGTATGTGTTTCAAAGACATCAGTTTTACTAAAAAAAATACTACATATTAATCTAGGTAAAGATTGTTTTTAAAAGTACTCCATATTAATTTACCTAAACTTTAAATATATTTGTACTAAAATATAGATATTGGATTAAGCTTCTACAAAAATTTCTTTTACTTTAACCTTCGAATTTAATAAGTTAATTTGAATATAGAAAATACTTTAATCTTAGCTTGTACGGAGTATTTATTAATTTAAATTAGGAATTAATAAACCAAATAAATTTTAAAGAGACTTTAAAAAATTATAAATTTTAAAGGGATCAAAACATATGTAAATTCGAGGAGGATTATTTGAAAAAATAATAATTTTACATGGTTGATTTGATCCAAAAATTTTCAAAAGGACCAAAAACGAAACTCGTTCATTTTTATACATGGACCAGAAACATAATTAATTTTTTTTCTTTTTTATTTTATTATCATATTTTTTTTATTTTATTTTTTTTTCTTTTTATTATTTTTAATTACATTTTTAATTTTCTCATTAAAAAAGTTTCTAAATTTTTTATTTTTAATTTTCAGATTTATTTTTTATTTTTATTCTATTACATATACTTAAAAGTATCTATAAAGAAAAATGATTAAAAACTCAATTTCTCCTAACATCCAAGTCCAAAATTTACTCTCTTTGGCTTTTCAGTTTTCAACCTTTGACTTTCGGACTAAGAAGCCAAGTGAAAAAGTCATTTGCCAAACAATGATTAGCTGTTTGATTAGTTAAAATAGCCAAAATTATTCAAAGAAGTCAAAAGCCAACCAAAAATCACTCCCAAACATGGCGTTAGTCTGTTAGCTCGAAGTTAAAGCAATTTAATCCATGTATTGTCTTTTTATTTAATTTGGTCATTCTATTTACTTTTGTTCTTACCTACAATGTTGATTTATTTATTTATTTTAATTTATGGAAAATTAGATCATTATACTCTCTATGTAATAGAGTTGTGTTTCTTTGGTTCTATGGTGCAGATATTAGTTGTAAATCTTATTACACTTTCATATAGGGGTGGACACGGTACGGTTCCGGTTCCGGAACCGCCGGTTCCGGTACCGCCACCCCATGTCACCGGAACCGTCACCGTGCCGGCCGGTACCGGTTCCGGTTCCCGGACCGGCGGTTCCGGTACTGGACCGGCCGGTTTCGCCCCCCCTCCTATTTTTATTATTTTTTTGCTTTTTTTAAAATTTTTAAAGTATAAAATTTTAAATTTGCAATTCTTTAAGGAAAGAATGAAATAAAAAAATCTAAAAATGTAGTTGTGATTTAAATATTTTAAATGAATAATACACTAACTGAAGAACAACCACATTTAATATCCTGACGGTTCAAAAAAAGCGACGAGGTAAAGAACCGTAAAGAAACCCTCGAAGGAGCTTATATATCGCTCACCTAAAAAACTAATTACATATCTACATTAACATAAAAAAATTATAACTTATTCTTCAGAACTCGGACTTCCATCTGTTGTTGCATTCATGTAATGCTCCGATTCGAGTAGGTACAATGACTCTTGAGCTCGACGTCTTGCCAAGAGCCAATCTTGGTTGCAAACTAGTGTTTCAAGAGATTCAGCGCTAAGACAACTTCGAAAGTCGGTTAGAATGTTGCCGCCAGCACTAAATTCTCGTTCAACTGCTACGGTTGATACCGGAACGGATAACACTTGTCTTGCTAGCATGCCGAGACATGGGAACATGTGTTCGTTCCGCTTCCACCATCCGAGCACATCAAAATCCACGTCGTCGTCGTCGTAATCGCATGGCACACCCTGGTACATAGCAAGTTCGTTGTGCGAGCTTACTGTTGTACCACTTGAACTCGTCGAAGAATGAGCACGCTTCCCTTTCTTTGCAAGAAGACCACCGACTATTCCGGCANGGTTGATACCGGAACGGATAACACTTGTCTTGCTAGCATGCCGAGACATGGGAACATGTGTTCGTTCCGCTTCCACCATCCGAGCACATCAAAATCCACGTCGTCGTCGTCGTAATCGCATGGCACACCCTGGTACATAGCAAGTTCGTTGTGCGAGCTTACTGTTGTACCACTTGAACTCGTCGAAGAATGAGCACGCTTCCCTTTCTTTGCAAGAAGACCACCGACTATTCCGGCAAAACCTTTTTTTGATTTCGGGGGCGGAGGTGGAGCTGTTTCTTCTTGTACAGTGCCGTATAACCCTTGATATTCCTCAAATAAATTCTCAAAAAAAGTTATAGCATTATCTCTTTCTTTTTTCCATTCTATTAAATGACTGTAGTAATAACTATTTTCATCTAAAAAACAACTATAGTAATACTCAATTAAAATTTTAAAATTTTCAATCTTAAAGCGTGGATCACAAATAATACCTATTTTATAAATATCAGGAATGAACAAATAATAAGCACACCATTTATCTCTCATAGGAGCGACATAAGGGTACAAATCTGGATCAGCCATAATTTCACGAAAACATGTTGCGATTGTAACGCACTCTTTAAAAAATGTATTTGTAGTTGGTTGGTAAACATGAGAAAAAGTAAGAGTTGCGTTATTAAAAACTTCTAATACGGCATTCAATTTTTCAACAATAACAAGTTCAGAAGGATTAATGATTATACGAAGTTCATCACTAAAAAATTCAGCAAGTTCCTCTTTATATCTTAGAATCTGATGAATCAATTTGTAAGTACTATTCCATCTAATGTAGATATCTTTTGCAAAAACTATTTCTTTTTTACCCTTAGACTTACAGAACATCTTCCAGGACCTCGAAACAAGACGAGACCCCCAAGGGATGCCTCGACCTTAGGTGTTTTTCCGGACCGCCATAACCACCGGAAACTCCCATTTTTATGACGGTCCCACAATGTTTACAAGTTCCATAAACTACGCCATCTTTTGTTTCTTTGTCAAAATGATAAACAAATAAATCTGATTTATATTTTTTTTACCTTTGTCCGGACCTCGAGAGGTCTCGGGCTCAACTGCCTCCACGTCGACGTCGTTGCTCTGCGGTGTAGGCTCCTCGTCCCCGTCTAGATTATCCAGTCCTGCTTCATCAAGATCTTCGAATACACTATCAAGAGTGGGGAGATTTGCGTCCCCTCTACCAAAATAAATCTGGTCGAATTCTTCATCCGTCATACCGTCCCCGATTAAGTGATCGGGGATAGTAGGAAAGGAAGAGACGGAGTGTCTTCCTCGAGAACCGCGTGAGGTCGAACCGTCGGAGGTGGCTTTAGCTTTGCCTCTCCTCAAACTTCGGTTCACAGCGCCCATATCCACTGACCTTCTACCGGACTCTCTCGACATTTTAATATATATATTTTTTGATATAAAAAAATAATATATTAAATTTCAATAATTTAAAAAAATTCAAAATTTTATATATTAAAATTTTGAAAATTTAAAAAAATAAAGAATATATTTAAATTATTTAAAGATTAAAGAATATATTTAAAAATTAATAATATTTTAAATTTCAAAAATTTTGAAAAAATTTCGAAATTTTATATATTAAAATTTCGAAAATTTCAAAATTTTAATGTATAAAAATTTATATTATTATATGAATATTAAATGTATAAAAATTAAAAAGAGATAATAAGATTGAGAGATTGATAAATTGAGAGAATGAGAGAATGAGAGATGGATTAAGAAATTGAGTGATTTTTTAGGAAAAAAATGT